CATCTCATTCTCCCTCAACATCCCTGTGAGTGCCATAGTAAAGTGTGCTGGAGATACAGTTACTATTGCTGATACCCAAGCTATTATCGCCAGCTTTGTCAAGCGGCTTCTAGTCACTATAACTCTGTAGTCAATCCACTTTCGAATGGCCACGTACCTTTCCCAAGCAATCATTGTCAGATGGAAAATCGAGCAAATCGCAAGAGTGATTGTGGACCAAATCGCCACAGAGTCCAACTTGCAAATGTAATGGTCGGTCACTATTTGATAGGGAACCAACAGTCTAGTCACAGCAGATAACGGTACACATAAACTTCCTACTAGAAGATCTGTAACGGCCATACTCGATAGCAAGATATTGGAAGCTCTCTGCAGTTCTTTCCTTTGCTTTACTGCTATGATCACAAGTACGTTCAAAAGAACTGCAGTTGGAGAGATTATAGATGCGACTGCAGCAAAAATCCAGGGCGAAGTTGTGTCATGTAAATTCCAAGGTAACTGTGGATCTTTTGGACAATAAAACACTGACCTGGTTGAGTTCGAAAAGGAGAAAGTGTTCAGTTCTGCTTCGCGTTGGTCCATGATGAAATCTATTTTCAGAACTTTTGGTTATCTTTCTTCTTTCGCGTTATGAGGCCTTGTTTATATAGCTTACACAGCTTATGTGATTCTACACATTTTAATGTAAATTTAAATTACGTAATGATTACTTAACAGTAAGTGTTTATATGAAAAGAAACAGGTTGTGGCTTGGAGATTTTTCTCACAAGCGGCCCCAGAAAGGGGCACGTAAAAGAAAAGAAAATGATATCAGGTTGAAAAAAAAATTGTTTTCTCACAAAACACTTACGAGCTATGAAAAACTCATTTTAAAGTGTTGGTGAGTTCTGGATCAAACTGAAATCTGGGTGATAATTTTCTAATAATTAAATTACTTTGGGGTCATAAACATTATAAAACATTTCAAAACCGCAAATGATCACTCTTTTTAAACAGCTCCAGAAAATAGAAACTCAAACATTATCGTAAATGTTTAAAACATTAGTTCTTTCCTCTTTTTGTACATTAAAAAAATATCATTTCATAAAAACTTTCCCTTCTTTTGTTTATGCAGAGTTCAATTAAATCTTAATAAAGCCGTTCCGCCTTTTATCTTCAAATTGTATTTTATTTCACAGCCGGCATTCAACAAGCTTCATTATCGGATGTCTGATCACAATTACGCCTTAAAATTTGCATGAGAGAAAGATCTTTTGGAAAAACTGAGTGTTTTATCATTCGCGGATCCACAATCGATATCATAGCTCAAATCCAAGCACCCGGTTGCTTTAAACGAGAAAAAAAAACCCCGCCACTTGAATAGCTCTTGTCATACCGTAAACTATATCTTTACATCGATGAGAACGAAATGTATACATTTTATCGCATCGGTCAGAATAACAAGCGGTTTTGCGTTGTCTCCTAATCTTCAAAATCTCCAACACGGCGTTCCTGAAACGGCGATTCTCCGAAGAAGTAAACGGGCAGGTGAACGAGTGGATTAGCTACAGAATTTAAATCTCCAAAAATATATCCGCTACACACATCGCCAAACGTTGACGAAAGACTTGATAATAATTGGGAAAAAGCAAAGAAACAGGTCTACCGTAACCAAAGCAGTGGACTTAGCTATTTTCTTTCACTAACTCGTTGTCTTGGCAAATTTGATGGCGTTTGCGAACTGATGCTAAGGTACATCATGACAGAAAAATTGATCATAACACGCAGGGCAAGGACTAACAAAAATGAAAGAACAATGAGGAAAATCTCCAGTGGTTCTCCTCCATCATCCTCGAAAGTACTTGAGAGTGTTGGAGATACAGTTACAATTGCTACAAGCTATCATCGCCAGCTTTTTCATAAGGCTTTTTAGTCATGGTCACGTACCTTTCCCATGCCATCATTGTCAGATGGAAAATCGAACAAATCGTAAGAGTAACCGTGGACCATATGGCAACGAAGTCCAGCACGCAAATGTAATGGTCGGCCAGTATTTGATAAGAAACTAACAATCCAACCACCGCAGATAACGGTACACATAAACCTCCTACTAGAAGATCTGTAACGGCCATAGTTGATAGCAAGATATTGGAATTACTGCTGTGATTACAAGCGTTCAAAAGAACTGCAGTTGGAGAGATCATAGATGCGACTGCAGCAAAAACCCAAAGAAAAGTAATGTCATGTATAAACTCAAAAATAACTATGGTTCGTGTGGGCAATAAAACATTGACCTGGTTGTGTTCGAAAAGAAGGAAGCGGTTCAGTTCTGCTTCGTGTCGGTCCATGATGAATCCTTTATTAAAAAGTTTTATTTAACTCATCTTTTTCTTAGTTATGAAGAGGCAGGTACAAAAGTCGGACCGGATCAACTCGGACCGCCAGTCCGGGTCGGATCAACTCGGACCAACTCGGATCGAATAAAAAATTAAAAATAAAATAAAATTGGACTCGGATCAACTCGGAGCAATGAAAAAAATTACATTAAATCAGCAAAACTGAAAGTTTAACCCATTTGGAGGGTGAAAAAGGGCAGATCATCCTTTTTTTCTCCGTGGCTTTCAGGCGCCATTTTGTTTTACTAGTGTCAGTTCCTCTCCGATCATGTTATAAACTCGTGGTTGTGGTTCGACAGTAAAGAAATGATAGTTTCAGTCGCCTAGAATGTATGTATTTGCTTATTTATTAGACTACTGAATTATTTATGAGAAAAGCATAAAAAGCCTGGTCTGTTGATCGCATTTAGGTAGTTACCGAAGAGTGTTTGTTTGTTTGTTCCTGTTTGTTTTTTTTTTCTGCAGGACTTCTGCAACTTAATTTTAATGATACACTAGTGAGCAGCTCACATACATTTCCAGTAAACATTTTCAACTTGGAAGGAGAAGAAACCATGCTCGCCAAGGACAAAGGGAATTTCCATGCCCCGGGCAAGAATCGAACTCGCGACCCTCCGGTTCAGTGGTTGGAACGTCAGATAAACATGCAGAATTCGGAGGGTCGTAAGTTCAATGCTTGCCTGGGGTACGAAAATTTTTGTTGTCCCGGGCGAGCATGAATTCTCCTCCTTCCAAGTTGAAATTGTTCACTGGAAGTGTACGTGTGCTGCTCACTAGTATATCATTAAAATTAATAAAAATAAAAATAAAATTAATTTACGCAACCACGAGTTCGTGAGAAAAAAACAAAATGGCGGGTGAAACTTAAGTGATACCGACTGATGTTATTTTCCTTTTTATAATCCGAGTTGTTTTTTTTTTTATGATCTGAGTTGTTCCGAGTCCAATTTTATTTTATTTTTATTTTTTCATTCGATCCGAGTTGGTCCGAGTCGATCCGAGTTGATCCGACCCGGACTGACAGTCCGAGTTGATCCGGTCCGACTTTTGTACCTGTCTGTTATGAAGCCTTGCTTATATAGCTTACACAGCGCATGTTATTCTTAAAATCCTATAAGTGTCTATATGAGCATGAGAAAAAACGCAGGTTGTGGGCTGGTTTGGTGATTTTTGTTCATAAATAAGCGGCCCAATAAAGAAAATGCAAAATTTCACTTTATCGAATTCGGAAACGATTTCACATTGTCTAAAACTTCGGCGATAGTTTACTGCTAATGAAAAGGTCAAAACATTAACATATTATCAAAACCGCAAATGATCACTCTTTTTATGCTCATAGCAACTTTACCTTGTGGAATATTTTTAAACAGTTACAGAAAATAAAAATTCAATTATTAGCGTAAATGTGAAGTTGATTTTAGGACAATATTCTTGTTTTCCATTCGTTTTCTTAATTTTTTTTATTTTAAAAAATTCATTTTGCAATTTTCATAACTTTTCCTTGTATATTTTGTTTATAGAGAGTTAAATGAACTTAACTATTTCCTAATAAAACCATTCCTCCTTGTATCTTCGAATTGTATTTTATTATACAGTCGGCTTTCAACAAGCTTCATTTTCAGATGTTTAGAGAGGTATTTTTAAATCTTTCCTTCGTGAACACATTCCCATCACAACAAATTCCCGACAAACACAAAATGAATGGAGATGACCACTATATTTTGCCGTTCGCTGTTTTTTGGCGTGAAGCAAGTGCATGTGTTTACCTTTATAGAGATGAAAAGTAGATAAAAACTGACCAAATGTCGATTGTCCGGTTGACAATCGACAACAAATAAAACATGTAAAGGGCAATGAAATGTAAGTTATACTGAAACGACACCAATATTCCAAGTACCCCAGTATGCATTGTCCAGTAAGTCTCTGTAAGATTCTTTATTATAATCACAATTGTTTCTACTCCAATATTAACTGTTGTACGAAAGAACACATGTCCGACTTTCTTGTAATACAGACCTAGTTGTTCTTGGGCCGGTCTGTATCAGTTAACTCGGTCAACAACGAAATTCACTTCCTTATAGCAAAAAAGTTTTATCCATTTTCATCCATTATCCTATAATTAATATTACTACCTATACTACGACAGAAACATTTGGTTTCAGAGGGAAGTCGTTGGACACTATTCAATGTATCAGTCTTAATAATGAAAGTAAATACTTACGAACAGTAATTATAGTGAAACATTAATATGCAAAATGATTTTATGTCAAGTTACTCAAAGTTGTCGAGTAGAATATACATATATTACAGGGGAAAATAATCACCAAGTCATCGCCAAGAAATTTAAGGTTTTTGGCAAAAGCTATTACGTCCTACCATTTTTAGTTTGTGAATATGTCCAAGTTACTGAAGATTTTAACTATCCTTGAAAGTTATGCACCTAATCCACCTACGAATTTCGCTGTTTCGTGGTCACGGTCATGTTTACATCTCCCACATCCCATAACTTGTTTTAGCTTGTTTACGAGGGTGTTATGATCATATCCGATTCTATGGGTCATTATTTTGAGGACTGTTAGAGAGAAACCTCGCATACAGATATACAGAAGGACTGAAACTGCTGATATGAAACTGGTTTTTACCATTCTACCGATTTTTATCGCGCTCGGCACAGGTACACTTTAAATTATTTCTGCGGTCTACAAATCTTGGGGCCGCTTCAGTCTCGGTAATTTCACAGGGCCGATTGTATATCGCTTGACACCGAAGGAGCCCTTATTTCGAGAAACGTCTGTTTCAATTGAGCACTCGACTGAAAACATTCTTCTTCCTATTACAACTGAAGTTATTTCCATTTTGTTTTTTCGCTACCATGGATGTAACCGAACAAACTGGTTGTATTGAATGTCGTATTCATGTTTCGGAAGCATTTTTATTTTTACGTTTATTCGGAAATAATCCACAAAGCATAGCCATCACGTATTTTACTTTAATCTGCTCAAAGTCATTAACATCCGCGCTTTAAGTAAAGCTATGAACATAAGGATAATATGACATAATTATGATAAGTCAAAATTATGGTAAATTCCGGCTTCAACGAATCCTACATTTACTTCTACAAACTTGGGCTTAAAAGTCCCTTCTCCAGGACTTTTCCAAGTTTCCGAAAGAAATACCATAACGTCTTATTAAAAGGGGACTTTTTAGAACACGAGCATTTATTTACAGTGATTTATTGATAATTCATTTGTCACTCTTTTTCTTGAGAACTGAGCGCTATAAAACTGAATGAACAGTTGCTGTTTATTGCATGAGGCGACCAAAGAACTGAGGCTAATTCACTCTATTTTTATCAGCTGCATGTAACACAGTGACAAGTTTCATCTGTTCAGATAGGTGGAATCGTGAGTATTCAAAGGAAGTTATTAGACCTTTCAACTCTTTAGATAAACAGAATATTCTAAAGGAAACAGTATCGGCAAAATAAATCAAGGACAACTATTGAACCTAAATCAATTGCTTTATGGACATGTAATTTGTACAATCACTGCCAATAAAATTTGGTGGCCGTTAACCACCATTTCTATTTATACACTTGATTCACGGACGTTGTAAACATTTTGATATTTGATAAAAAATTCACTGGCCGTGAATTAGCTATTTTCACCAAGTTTTACTGAAAAACGGTGAACTGTTCTTGTTTCTAACAGTTCAGTCGGACGATAAATTCAAGCGAGATGTCACTGATGCGGCATTGATGACCACTCTACGAAGTATTGAACGCAGACTAAAATTTGGTAAATAACTTCAAGCAAAGCTTATATTTTCACTCCAGTTGGTTAGAGTTTTCTGATTTTGTTAAGGGTTTGAAGGGAAAATTAGCCAAGCGTATGAAGAACGGGTAACAGAACCACTATTTTGACTAACTAGCTCTAGCCAAAAAACCAACACCCACTAATTAAATAGCTTAACTGTAGACTAACTATGATGGGATGACTTTCTGATCGTGTACTAAGCTTATTAAAGACAAACCTTACGGATAAATCCAACAATATTCATAGAAATAACCTTTTTTTGGTTTTTCATTGAGAAGGTCCTTGTCCGAGTGGCTGGACATATTTTAAAGGCTACTGTTACTTGGTGAGCAACTCCATCAAGACTTGGCACCAGGCCCAAGCCTACTGTAAAAGACTGGGTGAAGATCTGGTGAAGATCAACAGTGAAGAGCAAAACGAGTTTGTACTGAAGCTGGTTAACAAGCGCGCTCCGTCATTGCGTCAGGTTTGGTTGGCACTGGAGTGGAACCCGCAAAGAAAAGCGTTTATCTGGGCTGACAACTCAATTCCAACATTCAAGAAATGGTTTGCAGGTGAGCCGAATGGAAATGCTCATGAACCATGCAGCAATTTTTGGACCAGGGAAAATTCCCCCGGGATAAATGGACACTGGAATGACCTATCCTGTTGGAATCAAAATGTCCCCTGTGGTATTGTCTGCAAGAGGCTGCCTTAGGCTTGACCGGCATCAAAGCCGAAAGTAGAGTGATTCAGCTAATGTAACGAACCAAAACGCATTACAGCTAAGAATCAAGACGGCACTTACCAAGTGCGTTGATGTAACGTCAGCTTGAAAATAAAACAGCAGTTCTACCTATTTGTGTTTTATTTATTTTTCGCTGCTATGTATGTAAGCATCACTGTCACGATTAAGTTAAAAAAAACTAAACATTTGTGGAGGGGCCTGTTTTGAATCTATTTGGATTTTTTGCCTTTTTAAAAACATGCTTTTCACCAAAATCCGAAATTTCAACCCAAAGCGAGACGACGAGCATCCCCCCTTTTCATAATTTATGGGAATCCCCCACCCCCCACCCGCCCCCCTTCCGAGAAAAAAAATCTTTTTCACATTCAAGGCTTCACCTTTACAAAAGTTATAAAACTGAGGTTGGAGCAACTAGAAATGGCCAATGGTTGTCACTGGAGATTTTCCAGAGGTATTCACAATTTTCCAAATCAACTCTACCCGCCCCTCCCAAACCTTTCGTGCGCGTGACTTTTAACAGTAAGGGACTGTGCTATAATTATCAGTAGGAGGGGGGGGGGGGGATTAAGTAAACATAATCTCAAGTTAAAGGGGGCTCAAAATGAAATAAATTACTCTTATTACAGGGGGGCCCTAACTTGCATTTTATGTCATGTGCAAAAAATTGTAAGAACAATTCTACATGCACTGTAAAGCAGGAAATGTACTCTCAACTATGCTCAATACTCTTAGAAAATGTGAATTTTATATATATATAAAAAAATGTCATCACATTTTAAACATGGTACCAGATTTTCCTAGCAAAAGAATTGATTTGTGTCATAAAATTTCTATAATCCTAGTATTTACTTGTACAAGGCCAAACTCAACTAAAAACATGTTTGTCCCAAACAAACCATTTATACTTAGAAAAGGTCCTTTAAGACAGTTGTAAGTTCATTCACCCTCAGGTGCAGAAGTCCCAAACAATCGCCTGGGCTTCCCTAGCGAAACAGTTTGCCCTGCAAAGGTCGCGCAAGCCTGCCTTGTCTGTCTTTGAGGTAAACAAATGTGGAGTTTCACAATCAACTGTTTCCAGTTGGAGAACACCAAATATGTCCGGCTCAAAGTCCTTTGCAAGGGGAACTCCTCCCAAGGAATGGAAAACAGGGCATGCTCTTTTTCTTCTGTTTTCACAAGCTGTGAGCTTCCTCTTTTCCCCTTTTCACCTTCTCTGCTGTTTCCTTTTTCTTGCTTCAGATGTTGTGGACTTGGTGCCAATTTGATATGACGCCTTATATTTAGCCATCACTCTGTCCAAGTCCTACAACAAGTAGCCTGCGTTGCAGTCGGACCACGCACTCGTGCGCGTCTAAACCATTTGTATAGTCCGTCTGCGAACTAGTGCACAAAGGCTCGTTCTAATACTAATATCCTGCAGAGTCGCTCTTTACAGAAGGTTTAGAGCGTCTGCGACGCAGGCTATACAACAAGATGTAACACATCCTTTTCAACGACAGACGTGATATAGTGTCGTTTCTCGTCGTTGAAATTGTGAAGGCAATTTAGGCCAGTCTTAGGTTTGCCACCCTCTTTTAATAGGCTGTCATCATGTGTAGTTATGTTTTCTGTGATGACATGAATGAAGCTTATATGCGATTCGCCTCCCTCTCGGCATGGCCTTATGTTGTTGTTATCACGGGGGTTTGGCTTGTACTCTTCTCGGAGAAACCTTCCTGCACAAGCAGAGTCGAATGATTTGAAAATCATATATATGAACTACGGAGCGAAGAATTAAATAAAGGATGATCATCTCAGTTATATACGCAACTTTTGCAGTTGCGAAAAGAAAGCACGAAAAAAAAAAGGCCCTGAATTTTTTTCCGGCTTTCTTTTTGCAACTGCAAAAGTTGCGTATAAAACTGCGATGATCATCCTTCACTTTAATTACAAGCAGGATTGTCGGACAACAAATAAAGAAGCGGTTTTCAAGCTTTTCAACTTCTACAGTTACATTATATTTGGTGTTGGGGGAAGGGGGGTAGTAAAAATTATCAAGAGATCAAAAAGGGGGCTGAACTAATTCTGCTTTTGCTAACGGGGGGGCAAGGGGGTTGGCACTACATAATAATTTCCCCTTTGAAGCTCATTTCTGAGCCCCCCTCCTGATAATTATTGCGCAGTCCTTAAAGTGAGGTAATAGGGAGCTTAAGATCCGACGACGGCGACTGAAACGAGGACGTCAAAAAAGCAATAGGCTGAATAACCAAAACAACAGTTTTGCACTTGCATCACACTTTTTTGTACATTTCTTTGCCGTCACTGCACGACTACGACGTGAAAGTGCCTAATTTCAAGCTTTACAGAGGAAGTACACCAGCGACGACGAAATTTCCTCTCTATTTCTGAACTTGGATATGGTTCTTAGGAATTCAATTTTAGGAGGGTTCATCTACATTTGACAAAGTTAGTGACTTGGAGTAGCTGCAGTGAAGATTGAAAGAACGCGAATTCACTTTTTCAGAGACGTTTTCGCTGCCGTCGCCGTCTTCGGTTCTTAAGGTCCCTACTCAAACGTTAGAAACGTTTGGACGCTAAAGCAGAATTACACCGTTTTGCAGTTATTCCTCAGTAACCATCCGTTCCGTCGCTTTGATTTTTATGGCTTGTTTTTGTTTTTATTGTCTTTGAAACCGCAGGAGGCATTCGTTTTGGAGGGAAAATAATAATTTAGGCCAGTAAACTAGTAGTCTGCTACACAGCCGTTGTTGTGACGTCACGCAACGATCCTCCCCACAAGCCCGTTACTGGGGAGAAGCTTTGCGTGACAACACAACCAGTGGCTCAGTTGCAGACCAGTGAACAAGTAATGAAATCTCTTCGAATGTCAGTTTTTCCTCCGATTCAGCGAAAAAAAGAAGCACATGATAGAGAGTTATTCGTTTTATTTCTCTGCAAGAGTTGCATAGATGAACATCATCAGTTTAAGGCTCATAGCCTAACTCCTAAATTTCAAGAAAGACTAAATGAAAATGGGGTTGTGGAACAACAGCTGGGTGAAAAACGTCTCTGAATATCTACTTGTTCCAAGGAGAAAAACACCAGGGCAGCTGTATCCCAATTCAAGGTTGGAGGAATAGGTCGGAGTTCTTCAGTGAAATATGAATAAAAGAAGCGTCAGATCTTGACTAAACTGAACACAAATTTGGTTTAACTTTATACATGTTTTTTTGAGGCACGCTTTCAAAAATTCGGCTAGATGTTGGCCAGAAATCCTGTCTTTTAGAAGAAGGCGGTCACCTCGAGCCAACCCGCGCAGTCTCGAGTCATTTCTGCTCACCCGTCATCATTCACTGACATCTTCTAGCCGAATTTATGAAAGCCGCACCAGCTGACAACTCTCGGCCACACAGCTTAACTTGATACGTCATACGACATAGCTCAATAGGTAGGATGCATTTTAAAAAACGTCAATATCGGACTCAGTATTCTATGAATGATTCGTTTTTTGAAAGTAACGCCTGTTAAAAGCACGATTGTAGACTAATTGAGGTTGAAGGCAACGCCTGTTGGTTTTTGTTTTTGTTTTTTCCCATAGTTTCCAATAAAATAAAATAAAAAAAGAAAAGCGGACACAAAAAAATGAAGCGGGCGGGGACGAACTGAAAAGACTTTTTTTAAACTTGGCTTAAGGTGGCTGAACACAGTTTTGGCAGTTTGTGACTCTGTGTCATTTGCCAAATTATTGCAAGAGATAGGTTGCAGCTCACAAGCTGAAACTTGGCAAGTGAAAAATATACTGATGAAAGATTTTGAAGACAGGTAAATGTGACGTTTTCGTAGTTTCCATGGCAACACGAGCGATTGAATACAACTTTAAAATTTCAGTATTGGTCGGGGGACTAGGAAGAAGGGAAAAATTGAGGGGGTTCGGAGAGAGAGGGCAATGGACCTTTTCCCTTTCAAGCTTTTTTCGGCCCCTCCCTCCCCCACACCCCTTTTTGCGCCTCCCACTGAGGCTAGAAAGTAAAAGCAGGATGAACAAAATGTTACTTGCCGGGCGAGGTATATGTTGGGGTGGGCTCTAAAATCAGGGGCCTAGTGATAGGCTCATGCCATGTCACTTTTTACAAGCGCAGAACGACAATAATTTTTGGAATTTCCGGTCAAGGGTTAGGGTTCTCCTTCCTCCTCCCCCTCCCCTTTTTGCGCCTGCAACGCAGGCAAGGGAATCCCGGGGAAAATGATGTTCATCGTCACTTGTTTCAAAAGGCTAAGAATATAATATATACCTACTCCATTTCGCCAGTTAGGACCAGCTGCAGCTATTCACTCAATCCGGGGAAAAGTGTTGTACGGTCAACTTATTGTTAAGGTGATTCCCTGGTTTTGCACTGCGCATCTCTTACTACGCATAACAAGATGGCCTCCGTAAAAAAGAGCATGTGAAGTAACAATATTAAAATGAAGTTGACCGAAGAGAAATGCTATTGCAATTTTTGCTTGCGGTTATTTCTTGCCGAGGTAAGACTCAAGGTGGTGGAAATGTGCATAACGTAAGCAGTACGCGTGTTGCTGGGTTCGACTTCCTCACAGAGAACCTCAATAGTGGATGTTTAATTTGTGCTTATTCACTTTGATTTTCATTTAAAGGCTTTCTTTACCACATTGTGTCCTAAATGTGATATCTCGACGTAAATTCTGCAAAAACGGATTTTTTCATACTTTTTTCCCCCTTTCCCATACATTCTATTTTGAAACTCGCCCCAGTCCTCTCTCAAAAATCAAGGAAAATGCATTTGGTGCGCACTTTCTGCAGCTCTACCGCAAAAACGAGTACGGTGACCCCCATTTTTTATTTCATGGTTTTAATAAGGACAGTGCTTCCTTTCGGTGAGAAAAAAATTTGCACAAATCTATGTTCAGTTTTTTGGCAGTTTTTAGTAAATTGTACGGATTGAGCTATCATGTGTCGACTAGCGCGTGTCCAA